GAGAGAGAGAGAGAAGCAACGCGCGCGAGTGGAACGCCAAACCGCGACTGAGCGCGACGCAAAAGCGAGGCAAAGGTTACGAGACAGACGGCCGACTATAGCTACACCTACTCTACTCCGCTCTAGTCGCCCGTTGCTCTCCCTTCCGCCGTTTCTAGACGCTGCTCTATGCCGCCGCGGCTCTCGCATCAATTCCAAGTTCGTATCGTCCTCCCGAGACGCATACATCTTGCAGCATGCACCGGCCTACCTGCCGCACGTTTTTCCAACCGGACCAGGAATTTGGACCTCTACTCGCTTGAAATAGTGACTTTCTGCTCCCGGGACTCGCAGCCGATCGTTAATGTTGCATCGAAATTGTTAAGATTGCAAGTTTTTATAGCTGCGCGCGAAAGTAGATCGATTCTGTAAAAAGTAGTAAATTGAGAATCGCCAATTGGTCGCCGGGTAATCGTACGATCGCGTCAACTTGTGGATCATTTTTTGCCTTTAATAGTAATTGCCTTCTGTAGAACGAGCACTCTCCATGTTTTATTGACATATGCACTTGGCGCCAATATTTTCTGTTGCATAATGTCTTTCCAATACGAATATCTCTAAATTATATGTATTAATTATTTATCTAATTTATATAAGACATGTGTCGATAAGAAAAAGATACAAGCAGAAGTTTAATATTTATTTAACTTTCACATATCTCTAGTTCACACCCAAGCAAGAACATAGCAGAAGAGTACTTATGATCATTGCAAAAGATAGAAAATGTTTTACCGAATCTGATAAGATTACTACTTACAAAGTCACGATTTAAGATTGGATTGTCGAGATATATCAGTGGATCTTTAAATCTCGCACACGTATTATCTTTTATTTATAAAATATCGCAACCAAATTTTTATCTTTCATTGTCAAAATAGAATTGTGATATCGAAATTATTAATAATTATTTTCTATCATTCTAATCTTATATAATAATTGTATACAAATAAGAAATATTTATAATAAATATTTGACGTATGTGTTGACGTGTTTCTCATCTATCATTCTTCCAAGTAAGAACTTACTACGTAATGTAAAATTTAGATTACTGTGCCTGTGTCTTCCGCGATAGCCTGTACGCGGAAGAGAATGTATTTTAAGTTACACCCTCTAATCTTTCGCCGATTTCGCCGATTTGCGACATTACTCGAAGTATTCCGCGGAACCGAAACGCTCGATCGCTTCGCGCGCGTGCAGCTAAACTGCAGGTGCAAACGCGCATTCGTCGTGGCAGCCAGCGGTCGTGGTAGCCGGCTATTCAATCTGCTCCTTTCCCATGCGGGGAACCCCCGCTTGGTTTTAAAGGATCCCGGGGGGGCCCTTCCGTGCGTGAAGAATTTCACGGCTGAATCGGCTCCCGTCCGCTCCCGCTCCCGCTCCCGTTACGCGACTTTGCAAGCACCGGAACGAACTCGGCTTCCCTTTGGCAAATCACGGTCACGGATATTTCGAGTCCGCACTCGTCTGCGACGAGTTTGTTTCCAAGGCAGACCAGCGGATACCCACTTGACCCTTTAACCGACTTCACTTGATATATCTTTTTCAATGTTATCATAAATCAATTTTCTAACCACGCATCTGGCAATTTAGAAAACTGGTGTGAAAATTAATTGAGACTCTCTAAAGAATAGTGTACATAGCTATATCATTTTTTTTCTTAAATATTTCTCAAATAAGATATCTGTATTTCTGTATATAAAAAAAAAAATCGTAATATTTTCAATTATAATTTTTGCATTGATATAAAGAGATATAAGAAATTTGTGATAAGAAGAGTCGATTTTTATCGGAAGTAAGATGAAAAAAAAATGAATAGGACGTACTCACGTTCGCGCCAAGAAGTACTCCAGGCAATGTCCGAAATGTCTTCTCGATAAAGTATCATTGGGACTACCTAAAACATTTGTACATTAATTAGTTCTAAGATCTTACTTTAATTTTTTCCTTAATAAATAATATACGTACATCCAATTTCTTTTAAATATGTGAAAATGGTTTAATTTGAAGAACTACTTTAAGAAATAATTTAAAATGATATTTTAAAGATAAAACTTGCACTATATTACATTATATTATATACTATAAATATATAATAAATATAAGTTATAAATATATCGTTAGATCATAAATACTGTCCACCAAAGGTTTTAAAATGGAAAGAACTGTAAATATCGCTCTAGAAATCGCGACGAAACGCTTTAGCTGAACAGGCTGTTACTTAAGAATGAAAAGGACGCGTTTACGACAGAGTTTTTTTTTTGTTTTCAAGCTTGGGAAAAAAGTGAGGAAAACGAGGAGAGGAAATGATCTCGTCTCTCGCTTGAATGGGCACTTGTTTTCGCGGACAGGTGACATCACGCACACGCGGGCGTGAGAACCCGAGAGGATGCAGGCCGAGCCGAGGGCAATGACTTCTAGAACACTGACGCGCGCCGAGAAACGAACGAGACTCTCCCTCAAGAGATTCGTGCTATTGGGAAAAAAACCAGCCGCCATGATTTTACGGAGTGAATTTGGAAGGTGCTTCCAGAGTTGAATAAAATTATTCAATGAATGCTTTTCCAAACCACTGTTCTATTTCTAATGTACAAGAGCGTTTCAAAAATGGAAATCAATTGCTCGGGAGATGCTGATTGGGGATGCAAAAGCAAGAAGACAGGTTCGTATAAAGAAGTCCGGAAATGCGTTGCTTTTGAATCATCGTCATTTTTATGGAATTTCAAATTGTCTCGCTTATGGAATCTCTCTTTGTCAAAATAGAAAGAAAAGATAGTCTTTACAAGTTTTATAACATAATTAAAGTCAAATAAAAGTAGCTTGCTAACTTTTATTTGACTTTAATTATGTTATAAAACTCGTACTAAAAATTGCCTTTTCTTTCAATTTTAACAAAAATATTCGAAAGTAAGGCAATTTAAAATTTCAACATAAAAATGTAACGATAACGAAAACAATGCGTTTCTAGATTTATGTTTATACCAATTTTTTTCTTCTTTTTGAATCTTTAACTTTACTTCTCGAGCGAGTGACCTCCATTTCTGAAACCCGTACAATAATATGAGGAATATGAGGTAAGCATCAATTCGAATCATTTTGATATCGCATAGCGCCATGAGCGCAATGATCCGATAAGAGTGGCTTCTACGAGACTCCAACAAGTCAAGTTTCTCTAAGGTTGCACGCATGATAAGAAAACCATACGCAGCATTCAGGATACTTCGAACTCCTGGTGTGCCAGAAAATTAAAAGCCCGGCTTATCCGTTCGATTACCATGCGTTAGGTAACCGTTGCACGATAACTTCATTGTGCTTATCACCTGTGCGTGAGTCACCTCACACGGTTCGCCAAGGTCGTACGCATGAAAGCAAACGTGCGACCGTTATGGTTTTTATTCGACGACAAATGATTACTGGCTATATATTTCGCAAATATTTTCGATAAAAGGAAAAATATAGATATAGATAATCTTTACCGTATCAATTTTAAATATAAGAGCGATGAAAATCGTGAAAACTTCTCAAAACGTTACGTCGATTCATTCTATGCGTTTCAGAGACACGAAGGTTAAATACAACGACGAATTATGCACGACAATGGCCGCCGGTTCCGCCGCAATTGCAGAGCAATGATGCAATGCGCTTGAGTGCACCGGGGCGCTAAATTGATAAATTTGCATGCCCCCTGCCGTGCGTGCTCGCACGCACTGTATCCCCGTGCTGCACGACTGAGAAATGGGCGTCGTCTTGAGAGCGGAATAATAAATCCCACTGTTCGCATAATACGAAGCACGGGCGATCCGTGATAAATTTGCCCTTACGAGTATCTAAAATGTCAGTACAATCGAGCGCGGAAAACCGATGCATAATGCGCGACGCGTCACTCGCGACGAATTAAGATGAATTAAATCTGAAGTACCGTGAAATTTTGTACGAAGAAAAAAAAATGACTTTTAAAAAATAATTTTTTTTCA